TAGTTACAGTTCGTTTGAACATCTTATTCTTTGTTTTCCTAATCCAGATTGCAAAACTGTAAAACCACTCTTGTTTGTAGTTTTAAATCGTCCACCAGGCCCTTACTCTGAGTTTTCGGATCAGATCTCTGATTTTTTATCTGATTTGGTGCTAAATACTGATAAGGTCATTGTAGTGGGGGATTTTAATATTCATGTGGACATTGAAAATGATAGCCTCAATGTAGCCTTTAGTAATATCTTAGACTCAATTGGTTTTACTCAAAGAATACATAGCTCCACCCACCCCTGCCATCATACATTAGACCTTGTGCTGACTTATGGCATTGAGTGTGAGGAAATAACGATCTTTCCACATAATCCAGTCCTCTCTGACCATTTTCTGATAACCTTTGAGTTTTTTATAACTGAGTTCTCGAGACATGAAAGTACATTTCACTATAGTCGGTCTCTATCTGACAACGCAATTGCATCTTTTAAATTAACTGTTCCATTTTTACTGTCCTCAGCATCTCAGAGGCATGTAGCAGAGGGCAATATTTTCAGTTCTAGCCCCTCACAAATTGATGCCTTAGTTCATCATGTTAATTCCTCTTTACGTGTGGCATTAGATGATGTTGCCCATTTAAAAAGACGGTAATTAGGGACAGGAAGTTGGCTCCCTGGTTTAATTCTCATTTACGAGCCTTAAAACAAAACTCTAGGAAATTAGAGAGAACACGGTGCTCTACGCACCATGAGGAGGCCTACCTATCCTGGAAAAATAGTCTTGTGCTTTATAAAAATAAGCTTTGACGAACTAGAACTGCTTATTTCTCAGCACTAATTGAGGAGAATAAGCATAATCCTAAATTTATTTTCAGTACAGTTGCTAAACTTACACAGAATCATTGCTCTGAGCCATCTATTCCCTTAGCCCTCAGCAGCAATGACTTCATGGGATTTTTTACAAGTAAAATTAATTCTATTAGAAACAAAATCTTTAGCATCCTCCCTAATGTGATTTCTTCTTCCTCAGTAAGTGAGGCAGCATCAGAGGTGACTGTAGAACCTCATCTGTGCTTGAACCATTTTGATCCAGTTGAGCTTTCAGAGTTATCAAAAATATTAGCTTCATCTAAACCTTCAACTTGCATTTTAGATCCAATCCCAACCAAATTATTTAAAGAAGCATTTCCTTTGGTTACTGCCCCCATTCTAAATATAATCAATCTATCCTTAGTAAATGGATATGTACCACAAGATTTTAAGGTTGCTGTAATCAAACCTTCACTTAAGAAGCCTTCTCTGGATCCAGATGACCCAAAGAATTATAGACCAATGTCTAACCTTCCATTTTTATCCAAAGTCCTGGAGAAATAGTGGCCATCCAAGTATGTCAGCATTTAAACACTAATGCTCTGTTAGAGGAATTTCAGTCTGGTTTTAGAGAGTATCACAGCACTGAAACTGCGTTAGTGAGAGTTACAAATGATATTCTCATGGCTTCAGATAAGAATCTTGTTTCTGTTCTAGTCTTGATAGATCTCAGTGCTGCTTTTGACACAGTAGATCACAATGTTCTTGTAGAAAGACTTGAACGTGTTGTAGGGATCAAAGGAACAGCGCTAGGCTGGTTTAAATCCTACCTGTCTGACAGATTTCATTTTGTAAATGTACATGACAAATCATCTTCATACTCCAGGGTTACTTGTGGAGTACCACAGGGTTCAGTGCTTGGACCAATTCTTTTTACTATGTATATGCTCCCAATTGGTAAAATCATTAGACAGCATGGGATAAACTTCCACTGTTATGCTGACGATACTCAGTTATATTTATCCATTAACCTTGATTAACCTAATCGGTTGGGTAGATTACAGGCTTGTCTTGAGGACATAAAAAATTGGATGACTCTGAACTTTTTGCTTTTAAATCAAGACAAGACGGAAGTTCTCATCTTTGGACCAGAAATCCAGAAAAGGAAATTGCTTAGTCAATCACCTGACCTGAATGGCATTACATTATTCTCCGAGAACAAAGTAAGGAACCTTGGTGTTATCTTTGACCAGGACATGTCATTCAAATCCCAGGTTAAACAGGTTTGTAAGATTTCCTTTTTCCACCTTCAGAATATTGCTAAGATTAGAAGCATCCTTTCCAGGAGTGATGCTGAAAAACTAGTTCATGCATTTATTACATCAAGACTGGATTACTGTAATTCATTAATCTCAGGAAGTCCACAGAATGTAGTTAAAAGTCTTCAGCTTGTCAAAAATGCTGCAGCTAGAGTTCTGATGAGAATTAAAAAGAGAGATCATATCTCTCCTGTCTTAGCTTGCCTACATTGGCTACCTGTTAAATTCAGAATAGATTTTAAGATCCTTCTTCTCACATATAAAGCTCTTAATAATCAAGCTCCATCATACATCAGTGATCTGATTGTTCCATACGTTCCTAACCGAGCACTTCGCTCTCAGACTGCAGGTTTACTGGTGGTTCCCAGAATATCTAAAATTAGGATAGGAGGCAGAACTTTTAGTTATCAGGGTCCTCTCCTGTGGAACCAGCTCCCAGCTTTAGTCCGTGTGGCAGACACCTTGTCTACTTTTAAGACTAGGCTTAAAACATTTTTATTTGATAGGGCCTATGGTTAAAATCTGATGTTAGCCTAGATCTGGACAAGTGGGGGAGTAGAGGGAGGTGGAGTGTACAGTCGGTAAAGACGGCTCTCCCTTGCCCTGCCTCCAACATGCCTCCATCTAAATAGGATAGATTATCCAGAGTTATCTCTGTAGTTATGCTGCTATAGGCTTAGACTGCTGGAGGATACATAGACCACTTTCACACTCTACTACTTTCTTCTACAATCTGCTCTTTAACTGTATTATTTCCTGCTATTTCAGCTGATAACTTTATTTTCTCTCTAAGTGTTTTTCTCCCCAGAAGAAGCTACAATGATGTTCTGCTGAGCTGCGGTGGCCTCATGGAGGGGGCCATCGTCTAGCACACTGGTGCTAGCCACTTAAACATTCTCCCTCTCCTGACAATAACTTTTTGCTTTCCTTGACGTTGGATGTGCTACTGCTAGTTTATCCATTTAATTATAGATCCACTAGGATAAATACAATAAAGTTTATCTCTCACCAAATAGAATATTTACTAAGAAATCACAGTATAACTATAGATACATTACATTGTATTGTGTGTGTGTGTGTGTGTGTGTGTGTGTGTGTGTGTGTGTGTGTGTGTGTGTGTGTGTGTGTGTGTGTGTGTGTGTGTGTGTGTGTGTGTGTGTGTGTGTGTGTGTGTGTGTGTGTCTTCTCGATCCCCAGTGAGTCGTGGAGGATGGCCGCTTTTACTGAGCCAGGATTCTCTGGAGGTTTCTTCCCGTTAAAAGGGAGTTTTCCTCTCCACTGTCGCTTTATGCTTGCTTAGTATGAGGATTGCTGTATAGTCACTGACACTAGTCAGTGACTTGATGCAATTTGCTGGGTTCCTTATATAGGAAACATTATTTCTGATTGGCTTAATGAACTGACCTGAATTGGAATGTTTATCATGTGAAGTTTCTTGAGACGACTCGTGATTTGGCACTATATAAATAAAATTGAATTGAATTGAATTCATCACGTTACAGCTGGTAGCCTAAATTATGTTGTCAAAATGTTGTGAGCCCTGTGTGTGTATTAGCAGCTCCGCCCTCTCGGTCGGGCAAGCAACAGCATTTGTTGCATTTTTCAAACAGGAAGTGAGAGTGGAGTGAGATTCTGGTAGGGGGTGACTTGCTTGATCTTTAAAGAGCAAGTCAGCCCAATTGACAACAAAAGTCAAACGAAACTGTCAGAAGGTAAAGATAAACCTTTTCTGTGTTTCAAAAAAGAACGAAAACTGGAAATAGAAGTAAAACACAGAAATACACGTACCAAAGACATTTATTTACTCATTCACTGCCATTGATGACAAAAGTCGTCATTTTAAATCCAAATTTTGCAAATTGCTGGCAGCAAAGGGCTTTACTAACCAGGAACGTCTGGCAGTGAATGAGTTAATAAACACGAATGTAATGAACACATGCGCCATAAACACTGAACAAAGGCGTAATGAACAGGCTTAAAAAAACTATTTATTAACTCATTCACTGCCATTGACGACAAAAGTCGTCATTTTAAATCCAAACTTTGAAAATTGCTGGCAGCAGAGGGCTTTACTAACCAGGAACGTCTGGCAGTGAATGAGTTAATAAACACGAATGTAATGAACACATGCGCCATAAACACTGAACAAAGGCGTAATGAACAGGCTTAAAAAAACTATTTATTAACTCATTCACTGCCATTGACGGCAAAAGTCGGCATTTTAAATCCAAACTTTGAAAATTGCTGGCAGCAAAGGGCTTTACTGACCAGGAAACGTCTGGCAGTGAATTAATAAACACGAATTTAATGAACACATGTGCGATGAACACTGAACAAAGGCGCAATGAACATGCTTAAAAAACAATTTATTAACTCATTCACTGCCATTGACGACAAAAGTCGTCATTTTAAATCCAGATTTTGAAAATTGCTGGCAGAAAACGCCTTTTTTGGTCAGGAAACCTCTGGCAGTGAATGAGTTAATAAACACAAATGTAATGAACACTTGCGCCATAAACACTGAACAAAGGCGCAATGAACATGCTTAAAAAACAATTTATTAACTCATTCACTGCCATTGACGATAAAAGTCGTCATTTTAAATCCAGATTTTGAACATTGCTGGCAGAAAACGCCTTTATTGGTCAGGAAACGTCTGGCAGTGAATGAGTTAATAAACACGAATATAATGAACACATGAGCCATAAACACTGAAGAAAGGCGCAATGAAGATGCTTAAAAAACTATGTATTAACTCATTCACTGCCATTGACGACAAAAGTCGTCATTTTAAATCCAAATTTTGAAAATTGCTGGCAGCAAAGGGCTGACCAGGAATGTCTGGTAGTGAATGAGTTAATAAACACGAATGTAATGAACACATGCACCATAAACACTGAACAAAGGCGCAATGAACATGCTTAAAAACTATTTATTAACTCATTCACTGCCATTGACAACAAAAGTCGGCATTTTAAATCCAAACTTTGAAAATTGCTGGCAGAAAACGCCTTTATTGGTCAGGAAACGTCTGGCAGTGAATGAGTTAATAAACACGAATGTAATGAACACATGCACCATAAACACTGAACAAAGGCGAAAAGAACATGCTTAAAAAAGAATTTATTAACTCATTCACTGCCATTGACGACAAAAGTGTCATGTTCCTGGGCAGAGGTGAGTCACACCTTCTCCCTCACCAGACTCTAACTTAATTCTCCACAGGTGAGGAGCAGGGGGAGCGGCAGCTGCAGGAGATTTCCCAATCAGGAACGCGGGTTCAAAAGGAGGATGGAGACACATCACTTTGCCGGATGATTGCACCAGTTTAGGTCGCACCAGCCACTCGACTCTGAACTTTGATCTTGTTAATTCGTGTTTTGACTCGCCTTCGACTAGTGGATTTATGACCTTGGATTGTATTTTGGATTTGGAATTGGATTATCCCTTACGCCTGTTTTTGTCTCGCTCAGGATCATCTCATCATCTACTCACCCTCGCTGTCTTCGTTTTCTGGAACATACTCATCACGTCCCATCCTCCTCCGCCGTTCCTGTTTGGCTTTCCCTCTGCTACCTCACCCCTCCTGGATCTCTCATCCTCTGCCCAGCGTCCTCCCCGGCTTCCCCTCCTCTCCTGATTAACCTGAGCACCTCAGAGACTCGAGCCGTATTGCTCATCCCACAGGACTTCCCTGTGCGGTTTCAGTTCCCGTTTTTATAATAAAGACATTTTACTTTACTGCTTTGGACTACGTGTGCTGATTCTGCATGTCTTGGGTTAGACACTTACCTCGAGCCATGACAAAAAGTCCTCATTTTAAATACAGATTTTGAAAATTGCTGGCAGCAAAGGGCTGGCCAGGAACGTCTGGTAGTGAATGAGTTAATAAACACGAATGTAATGAACACATGTGCCATAAACACTGAACAAAGGCGCAATGAACATGCTTAAAAAACTATTTATTAACTCATTCACTGCCATTGACGACAAAAGTCATCATTTTAAATCCAAATTTTGAAAATTGCTGGCAGCAAAGGGCTTTACTGATCAGGAACGTCTGAAAGTGAATGAGTTAATAAACACAAATGTAATGAACACATGCGCCATAAACACTGAACAAAGGCGCAATGAACATGCTTAAAAAAACAATTTATTAACTCATTCACTGCCATTGACGACAAAAGTCGTCATTTTAAATCCAAATTTTAAAAATTGCTGGCAGCAAAGGGCTTTACTGATCAGGAAACGTCTGGCAGTGAATGAGTTAATAAACACAAATGTAATGAACACATGCGCCATAAACACTGAACAAAGGCGCAATGAACATGCTTAAAAAAACAATTTATTAACTCATTCACTGCCATTGACGACAAAAGTCGTCATTTTAAATCCAAATTTTAAAAATTGCTGGCAGCAAAGGGCTTTACTGATCAGGAAACGTCTGGCAGTGAATGAGTTAATAAACACAAATGTAATGAACACATGCGCCATAAACACTGAACAAAAGCACAATGAACATGCTTAAAAAAACTATTTATTAACTCATTCACTGCCATTGACGACAAAAGTCATCATTTTAAATCCAAACATTGAAAATTGCTGGCAGAAAACACCTTTTATGGTCAGGAAACTTCTGGCAGTGAATGAGTTAATAAACACAAATGTAATGAACACATGCGCCATAAACACTGAACAAAGGCGCAATGAACATGCTTAAAAAAACAATTTATTAACTCATTCACTGCCATTGACGACAAAAGTCGTCATTTTAAATCCAAATTTTAAAAATTGCTGGCAGCAAAGGGCTTTACTGATCAGGAAACTTCTGGTAGTGAATGAGTTAATAAACACAAATGTAATGAACACATGCGCCATAAACACTGAACAAAAGCACAATGAACATGCTTTAAAAAACTATTTATTAACTCATTCACTGCCATTGATGACAAAAGGCTCCATTTTAAATCCAAACTTTGAAAATTGCTGGCAGAAAACGCCTTTTATGGTCAGGAAACATCTGGCAGTGAATGAGTTAATAAACACGAATGTAATGAACACATGAGCAATAAACACTGAAGAAAGGCGCAATGAACATGCTTAAAAAACTATTTATTAACTCATTCACTGCCATTGACGATAAAAGTCGTCATTTTAAATCCAAACTTTGAAAATCGCTGTCAGAAAACGTCTTTTTTGGTCAGGAAACATCTGGCAATGAATGAGTTAATAAACACGAATGTAATGACCACATGAGCCATAAACACTGAAGAAAGGCGCAATGAACATGCTTAAAAAACAATTTATTAACTCATTCACTGCCATTGACGATAAAAATCGTCATTTTAAATCCAAACTTTGAAAATCGCTGGCAGAAAACGTCTTTTTTGGTCAGGAAACATCTGGAAATGAATGAGTTAATAAACACGAATGTAATGAACACATGCACCATAAACACTGAACAAAGGTGCAATGAACATGCTTAAAAACTATTTATTAACTCATTCACTGCCATTGACGACAAAAGTCGTCATTTTAAATCCAAATTTTGAACATTGCTGGCAGCATAGGGCTGACCAGGAACGTCTGGCAGAAAATGAGTTAATAAACACGAATGTAATGAACACATGCGCCATAAACACTGAACAAAGGCGCAATGAACATGCTTAAAAAACTATTTATTAACTCATTCACTGCCATTGACGAAAAAAGTCGTCATTTTAAATCCAGATTTTGAAAACTGCTGGCAGCAAAGGGATGACCAGGAACGTCTGGTAGTGAATGAGTTAATAAACACGAATGTAATGAACACGTGATTAAAAAACAATTTATTAACTCATTCACTGCCATTGACGACAAAAGTCGTCATTTTAAATCCAAATTTTGAAAATTGCTGGCAGCAAAGGGCTTTACTGACCAGGAAACGTCTGGTAGTGAATGAGTTAATAAACACGAATGTAATGAACACATGCGCCATAAACACTGAACAAAGGCGCAATGAACATGCTTAAAAAACAATGTATTAACTCATTCACTGCCATTGACGACCAAAGTCGGCATTTTAAATCCAAACTTTGAAAATTGCAGGCAGAAAACACCTTTATTGGTCAGGAAACGTCTGGCAGTGAATGAGTTAATAAACGCGAATGTAATGAACACATGCGCCATAAACACTGAACAAAGGCGCAATGAACATAATTAAAAAACTATTTATTAACTCATTCACTGCCATTGACGACAAAAGTCATCATTTTAAATCCAAATTTTGAAAATTGCTGGCAGCAAAGGGCTTTACTGAACAGGAACGTCTGGTAGTGAATGAGTTAATAAACACGAATGTAATGAACACATGCTTAAAAAACTATTTATTAACTCATTCACTGCCATTGACGACAAAAGTCGTCATTTTAAATCCAAATTTTAAAAATTGCTGGCAGCAAGGGCTTTACTGATCAAGAAACGTCTGGTAGTGAATGAGTTAATAAACACGAATGTAATGAACACATGCACCATAAACACTGAACAAAGGCGCAATGAACATGCTTAAAAAAACAATTTATTAACTCATTCACTGCCATTGACGACAAAAGTCGTCATTTTAAATACAAATTTTGAAAATTGCTGGCAGCAAAGGGCTTTACTGATCAGGAAACGTCTGGAAGTGAATGAGTTAATAAACACAAATGTAATGAACACATGCGCCATAAACACTGAACAAAAGCACAATGAACATGCTTAAAAAAACTATTTATTAACTCATTCACTGCCATTGATGACAAAAGGCTCCATTTTAGATCCAAACTTTGAAAATTGCTGGCAGAAAACGCCTTTTATGGTCAGGAAACATCTGGCAGTGAATGAGTTAATAAACACGAATGTAATGAACACATGCACCATAAACACTGAAGAAAGGCGCAATGAACATGCTTAAAAAACTATTTATTAACTCATTCACTGCCATTGACGACAAAAGTCGTCATTTTAAATCCAAATTTTGAAGATTGCTGGCAGCAAAGGGCTGACCAGGAATGTCTGGTAGTGAATTAGTTAATAAACACGAATGTAATGACCACATGAGCCATAAACACTGAAGAAAGGCGCAATGAACATGCTTAAAAAACAATTTATTAACTCATTCACTGCCATTGACGATAAAAGTCGTCATTTTAAATCCAAACTTTGAAAATCGCTGGCAGAAAACGTCTTTTTTGGTCAGGAAACATCTGGAAATGAATGAGTTAATAAACACGAATGTAATGAACACATGCACCATAAACACTGAACAAAGGTGCAATGAACATGCTTAAAAACTATTTATTAACTCATTCACTGCCATTGACGACAAAAGTCGTCATTTTAAATCCAAATTTTGAACATTGCTGGCAGCAAAGGGCTGACCAGGAACGTCTGGCAGAAAATGAGTTAATAAACACGAATGTAATGAACACATGCGCCATAAACACTGAACAAAGGCGCAATGAACATGCTTAAAAAACTATTTATTAACTCATTCACTGCCATTGACGAAAAAAGTCGTCATTTTAAATCCAGATTTTGAAAACTGCTGGCAGCAAAGGGATGACCAGGAAGGTCTGGTAGTGAATGAGTTAATAAACACAAATGTAATGAATACATGCGCCATAAACACTGAACAAAGGCGCAATGAACATGCTTAAAAAAACTATTTATTAACTCATTCACTGCCATTGACGACAAAAGTCATCATTTTAAATCCAAATTTTGAAAATTGCTGGCAGCAAAGGGCTGACCAGGAACGTCTGGTAGTGAATGAGTTAATAAACACGAATGTAATGAACACATGCTTAAAAAACAATTTATTAACTCATTCACTGCCATTGACGACAATAGTCGTCATTTTAAATACAAACTTTGAAAACTGCTGGCAGCAAAGGGCTGACCAGGAACGTCTGGCAGTGAATGAGTTAATAAACACGAATGTAATGAATGCATGCGCCATAAACACTGAACAAAGGCGCAATGAACATGCTTAAAATCTATTTATTATCTCATTCACTGCCATTGACGACAAAAGTCGTCATTTTAAATACAAACTTTGAAAATTGCTGGCAGCAAAGGGCTTTACTGATCAAGAAACGTCTGGTAGTGAATGAGTTAATAAACACGAATGTAATGAATACATGCGCCATAAACAATGAACAAAGGCGCAATGAACATGCTTAAAAAAAGTATTTATTAACTCATTCACTGCCATTGACGACAAAAGTCGTCATTTTAAATCCAAATTTTGAAAATTGCTGGCAGCAAAGGGCTTTACTGACCAGGAACGTCTGGCAGTGAATGAGTTAATAAACACAAATGTAATGAACACATGCACCATAAACACTGAACAAAGGTGCAATGAACATGCTTAAAAAACTATTTATTAACTCATTCACTGCCATTGACGACAAAAGTCGTCATTTTAAATCCAAATTTTGAACATTGCTGGCAGCAAAGGGCTTTACTGACCAGGAACGTCTGGAAGTGAATGAGTTAATAAACACATATGTAATGAACACATGCGCCATAAACACTGAACAAAGGCGCAATGAACATGCTTAAAAAACTATTTATTATCTCATTCACTGCCAGTGACGACAAAAGTCGTCATTTTAAATATAAACTTTGAAAATTGCTGGCAGCAAAGGGCTTTACTGATCAAGAAACGTCTGGTAGTGAATGAGTTAATAAACACGAATGTAATGAACACATGCACCATAAACAATGAACAAAGGCGCAATGAACATGCTTAAAAAAGTATTTATTAACTCATTCACTGCCATTGACGACAAAAGTCG